GATTCTTTCAAATTGATTGGTCAAAAAAGAAGAGAGCATGCTGCTGTATTATCTTCCAAAAAAAAAATAAATAAAAAAAAAATATCAAGCCAACTCAATAGTTATTTACACTGCCTAGGTCGAAAATTTTCAGCATCTAGAAGCCAAGCTACAAGGTTCTCCATCCTTCTAGAACTCAACGACGGCCTAACGACATCCGAGCTCCCGAAAACCGCACAAGGGTCCGTTTTTCGGCCATTCCTCCCCAAACACCAACCGCCGGGCACAAACCGACCATCGCCTCTTTTCAAAATCTCCTTGTCGATCCTATCAAGAACCGAGTCATTCTCGGGAATCTTATGGGCAAATGGGGCCCCACTATGAAACATGTCGTCAAAATGCTTGAGCGTTAGATTTTCCGGCACCTCGTTTTGCGGGTTTTCCCATCTCACGTAATGCAGATTGTGGTTAACCGCCGTTTTTTGGAAGTGTTTGTGGTTGCACATTACGGTGTGGAAATAGCCCTCGGGAGACGAGAGGAAATTCGTGTAGTACATTAAGAGGGTTCGTGGGAGATTGTCCCAACCCCATATGGAGAACTCGAGAAAAGGTCTCGAGAGGACTACCCAAGCTGACCCTAAGGAGAAAAAAGAAAAAAAAAAAAAAAAAAGTAATGCATTGAGTGATTATCATTACTCCATTGCATGAAAAAAAAATGACTTTTGGTCCTTCCATCGACAAAAGCCGGTCCCGGTGATCAGTTGCTGACATGGATATTATTTTTTTTTCCATACGCTAGCAGCCGACTAACATATCCAATCAGCAGCCGGTGGAAGGACTAAAAGTCGGGTGTTTTTTGCAGTTACAGGGTGTTTTGTAAATCAACGAACTATTTCTCGATTTGGTGTCAGTTCTAACTTCTAAATCTCCAATTTTTCCAAACGATGCATGTAGAAGAATATAAATTCGCTAAAAGGCGTATAGAAATGAATGTTTGGCGTATCGTTAAACTTGGTCCGATTTGATAACTTTCCTTTTTTTTTAAACAACTTTGAAATTTGATAGTGAATATGTATTTAATGCATCTTTAAATAGGTCGAGGGGAAGGTAAAAACAGAAAGGATGTGAAACGGCAACACGAATAATTATGTACAAAGAAAGAAAGATCACTAATAAATTTACATTAATATCTCAACAAAAAATATGCAAAGACGAATTTGAGTATGGATGTTAAGGCGGAGGAAATATATGGTTGGTTGAAACATTGAGATATGGAAATAAATTATTGTCTTTCGCTCTCAACAATTTACCTCAGATGACATAACTCGACAATTTAAGGAAATAAATTTAAGGAATTACCAGTGAATAACTTGAATGACACGGGCACTGATCTTTTCTCTTTGGCCCAAAATAACCCGGATATCTTAGGGTGATAAAGTGCAGGATCTATGGCAATAGGCCTCACTCTTTGGTGCCTGCAAAGAAAGGATCCAAAACCAGAGAAAAAAAAAAAAAAAAAAAAAAAAGTTAATGATCACAAGAAAGAAATGAAGCGGTTGTTTTCTGCTCGTGTGAACAAATGAAGGGCGTTTTAGCCAAATGCTCACTCTTTCCAACCGAACTCGCTCGTATGCTCAATGAAATTCAGATCCCTCGGCAAGTACGAAAAGATGTGAAGGAGATCTGATAATAGGCAAAACAAGAATGTATCAAAATAGTGAACACATTTTGATTATCCCAAGTATCAGTTTAAAAGAACATCTTATAAATACATGTGAGCTACTAAAGTATAAAGGCTGAAATGCATATTCCACCTAAATATCTCTTAACTCAAACCGGAGAGAAACTCAGAGGAAAGTTCTTATTTCAACAGACACTTTTTTAACTGAAAATTCGAGCCGAACTCGAACAAATTTGAGCCAATCTCGAGCGTTTGTGTTCTTTTATCCAGTAGGTCCCTAAAAAAGCTTGGCTTGTCGAGCTCGAGCTCTAGCATTGATATAGAAAATCGATCCTAGCTTGATGAGATCAAAGCTCGACTCGTTTGCAGATCAAACTATCGATTCAAGACAATTACTTCAATCAATTTCTATTAAAAACCAAAAATATCACATCCTCAAACCCATTTTCACACATAATTTTCTCGTAAATGACACATCAAAAATATCACAACCTCAAACATTATCCACATTACATAAACAGCACCAATCAAATCACTTCTAAAGAACCAAATCATAAAGTTAAAAAAAAAAATGAAATAAAATTGAAAAAACTTACCGTCTTGAGGCATAAGCGGATAATCAGAAGCTCCAAGGTTAACAAACCAATCCCAGCTCTCCGCCTGCTTCAGCAAAATCGCCACCGCGTGCAGCGTGGATGCCACCGCCGTCGGCCCCTTGGGGGTGATCAAATCGCCCTTTCCCATCACCATCACATTCCCGAAACTCCGCACCGCAGCTTCGGACTTGGCGAACCTGGCGAGCTCGAGCCTCTCGTCGTCGGAGGCCACCCAATCCAGGTGGAGCAGATAGTAATTCCGGGGATGGTACAGCGCCTGAAGCAGCCGCCTCAGCCTCCGGCCGTCGCCACTCGTGCCCGATATGAAGTACGCAAATCGCGGCGGGTCGGGCAGGATCGGGTCGGTTGGATCCGAACCCGGAAACGGAGACCCACTGGGCTTGTGGTCGGATAAGACTAAAATCGAGATGAGGATTACTGCAGATATGGAGAAAAAGGCGATGGGCAGTGAGGATTTGCGATTAATGTGGCTTCTTTTCATCACTCTTTTTACTTTTTCTGCTCAAATCTTTGAAGGGTTTTGGGGGAAAAGCTCTCTGCTAGGGTGAATTTGCTTGTAAATCGAAAATGCCGAAGATTGGCGGCGGAGATTGAAGCAGAATTTGAGGGTTGAGCTATAAAAATGGAGTCTTTGAAATTTGAACTTGTTGAGGATTTTTAGCGTAGAACACAAGGGGAAAATGGGGAAAAGCGGTAGGTGGAAGGTTTCTTTTTTTTTTTTTCGGTCGCGGGGAAAAATGATTTTTTTAGATTGTCTTTGTCGGTGGATTATTGGCCATCTTTTATAATTAATTGTTAATGATGATGTGCATTAAACAATAGTCACAGTTTAGTTGCTATAGTTTGAAACGCCTAACAAATCACTTATCACGGGTGACATTATATATTTGAATTACAATGATTTGGGCATGCGTGTTTATTAATGAGGTGGAAAATTGACGTATTTATTCAATTAGGTTAACAATTATGCATATTTTCCATTTGATATGTCATCATGTTGGAAGAAAGTACCCATAATAGTAAGTTAAGGTGTAATTGAATATTCTATATATATTATAAAACAATAAGATTCCACGATTTAGTGTTGATGGATCTAATGGTTAGATAGTTATATTTGCAATTAAATAAATTTGCACAAAAAATTGTTAAATAAAATAATTTATTATTTTACTCTTGTAGATGTTTGTCTTGTCTCTAACTCACTTTTTCGAAAAAAAAAATATGAAGCCCCTTGTTTCCCTCACTTCGCAACTCCTAAGTCCTCCCTTTGCCACACGTCCAGCCTCTGAGTGAGGCCAACGTCAGCGCTTCTGTCTAATAGTCGTTGGATTATGCGATTTTGATATTGTTAGATCTGTCTCAGTCCTTTCAAGTTTCAACGTCTCTACTAGTCAGAAGATGAAGCTCGGACTCTTGCCCCCTGTTAAATTTAATTAGCCGTTTAGATTTTAAGTCACAGTTTTAGGTTTGAATACCCTGAAATGTGAATCTCTTTACGTTGTAAAACCGGTGCCAAGTTTGCGGTTGGTTGGTGCTTAGTGGTGGTTGTGGGCGATGTAGAGCTTGTGGAGATAGTCATGGACGTTAGTTTGTTTGAAGAGAGTGATGATGTGTTTAGCCTATGTATTATTTTGTTTTTACTTCTCCTCTTTAGAGTGTATAGTCCCCGCTATGGAAAATTGTAGTGATAATTTTAGTTGTATGTTAGTGTTTTTTCCCGTTGTGTGTGTTGTCTAGCCCCTTTGGTAGCATGTGTAATTTCAATGGACGATTGAGTCTACGTAACAATTGTTTTATGTTATTAATAAGAAATCTTATCATTTGAAACAAAAAAAAAAAAAAAAAAAAAGNAAAAATCGTGTAGATTTACAATCTTCAACTTTGTTATTTGGTTGTAATTAGAAATGGCAAACCATACTGGCAGAAACCAAAAAGAAGGCCCAGAAGTTTAAAGCAAGTCTTGTACCCCAAGCTTGCTTGACTCGGTCACTGAGGCTACTCGGCTAAGCTGGTCGGTCATTGTCCATCAGGCCTGTCAGCTTAAATCGAGGCTGATGAAACATTGGGCTGAACCTGTGTAGTACAAACTACTCGATCTTGAAGTATAAATGTAGGGGAACTGCTGGAATTAATAAACTTCAATTGTGTATGAAAAATTGCTAACCAATAGAAAAAGAAACTAGAGAGATGAGAAAAGAAAAAAGAAACACAAAGGGAAGTCTTTCGCATGTGAAGTTGAGGGAAAGCGAGTTTAATGTAGACTTTTATATTGAAAGTTCCTAATGACCGATCCATATTGGAAGTTCCAAATGTTGCAATGAAATGTATCCAGCATACGTTTAGAACATTACTTCTGTATTCGGATAATTATATTATTCAATGATTGTAACAGTGCAAACCAAAGTTTACAGAAAAATTTGGATTCATAAACTTCAGTTGTGTATGAAAATTGAAAACCATTAGAAAAAGGAACATTATAGACAGAGAGAGAGATTGGAAAAGAAAACAGAAACTAAAAGGAATGCTTTCTAATGTAGAGTTCGGAAGCTTTAAAAAGTTGCATCAAATGTAGCAAGCACAAAAGGAACATTATAATAATTTATAATACCTATTTTTCCTAGGGAACAAAAATGAGTTCTTCATCCATCCCTTAATCAAAATCAAAATCACAGTCATCAAGATTCAGTATTCTGAACAGCAAACTAAAAACACAACTCCAGAAATTTCAAAACAAAAAACCATCCATTCAACATAGTACCATAGCAACATCATCGTAGGTGAATCAAAAACGCAAAAGGCCAAAGAGACGAGCACCAAAGATACTCTCTCAAAAGCCACAATTATCCCAAGAAAACATCATAATCATAATAATAATAATAACCTTGTCCAACAAAAACCAATAAATAAAAAAGAAACCCCAAATCCCAAAGCCATTCATTTAATCGACCTCCTCGATCTTGGGACCCGCTCCTCCAGAAGCCGGAGGCACCTCATCATCATCCATGGGGCCGTCACCACCCGCACCTTGGTACATCTTAGCTATGATGGGGTTGCAGATTCCCTCGAGCTCCTTCATCTTATCCTCAAACTCATCAGCCTCTGCCAGCTGGTTCCCATCAAGCCACTGAATGGTCGACTCAATAGCATCCTCAATCTTCTTCTTGTCAGCAGCAGGCAGCTTGGAAGCAATCTTCTCATCCTTGATAGTGTTCCTCATATTGTACGCATAGTTCTCGAGCGCATTCTTCGCCTCGACCTTCTTCTTGTGCTCCTCATCTTCCGACTTGTACTTCTCAGCCTCTTGAACCATCTTCTCAATCTCATCCTTGGAAAGTCTGCCCTTATCGTTAGTGATAGTGATCTTGTTCTTCTGACCGGTTGTTTTGTCCTCAGCAGACACATTTAAGATACCGTTAGCATCAATGTCGAAGCAGACTGTGATCTGAGGTACACCACGTGGGGCCGGCGGAATGCCGGAAAGCTCGAATTTGCCAAGCAGATTGTTGTCACGGGTCCTCGTTCTCTCTCCTTCATACACCTGAATCAAGACACCTGGCTGATTGTCCGAGTAGGTAGAAAAGACTTGCTCCTTCTTCGTCGGGATTGTAGTGTTTCTCGGGATTAAGACAGTCATCACACCTCCAGCAGTCTCGAGGCCGAGAGAAAGAGGAGTTACGTCGAGAAGCAAAAGGTCTTGCACCTTCTCGTTACCTTCGCCACTCAGAATGGCGGCCTGGACAGCAGCACCGTAAGCAACAGCCTCGTCAGGGTTGATGCTCTTGCAAAGCTCCTTCCCGTTGAAAAAGTCTTGTAAAAGCTGCTGAACTTTCGGGATCCTAGTCGAGCCACCGACGAGGACGACATCGTGTACAGTGCTTTTATCCATCTTGGCATCTCTCAAACACTTCTCGACGGGCTCCATACACTTCCTGAAGAGATCCATGTTCAGCTCCTCGAACCTGGCACGGGTGATAGTGGAGTAAAAGTCAACGCCTTCGTAGAGAGAGTCAATCTCGATTGTGGTCTGGGCAGTGGACGAGAGAGTCCTCTTCGCACGCTCGCAAGCGGTCCTCAGCCTGCGAAGAGCACGCGGGTTGCCGGTGATATCCTTCTTGTGCTTCCTCTTGAATTCCTGAACGAAATGGTTCACCATTCGGTTATCGAAATCTTCTCCTCCGAGATGGGTGTCTCCAGCAGTGGCCTTAACCTCGAAAATTCCTTCCTCAATGGTCAAGAGAGAGACATCAAAAGTGCCGCCTCCAAGATCAAAAATCAAGACATTCTTTTCGCCAACGCTCGTTGCTTTCTTGTCGAGACCGTACGCAATGGCTGCAGCTGTGGGCTCGTTGATGATTCGCATGACGTTGAGACCAGCAATGACACCAGCATCCTTAGTGGCCTGGCGCTGAGAGTCATTGAAGTAGGCAGGGACAGTGACAACAGCGTTCTTGACAGATGAGCCCAAGTAGGCCTCGGCAATTTCACGCATTTTCATTAGGACCATTGAGGAAATCTCCTCGGCAGCAAACTGTTTGTCCTCGCCCTTGTAGTTAACGACAATCATGGGCTTGTCGCCTGGACCAGAGATGACTTTGAATGGCCAGAGCTTCATGTCGCCCTGCACGGATGCATCTGTGAAGCGTCTGCCGATCAGCCTCTTAGCATCTGTAGGGGCGAACAATCGACAATGAAAACAGTTCATTAGCTGGAATTAAAAAAGCCCATAATGTGAACCAAGTAATGTGAACCAAATATTACTGAACGCATAATGATAACTTAAATACCATGTTAACTTAGAAGTTCTTAATCACAAGAGATAAAAAAGCTATGCCAGACATATTTCATTTGCTGTAACCTTTAATAGCATCAATTGTCCATTGCAAATGGAGCTGGAAGAGTCATTGTTGACAATTCTCCTGACATAGTGCTAATAATGGACTAGATTAAAATGGCTCAATTAAATTCTAGTGCTTCTTCTATTAGTGAAGTTTCTAGAAAAAAATATATCTAACGGCGCAATGCACCTTGAGTCACTACGGAAACAGCCTCCTTGTATAATTACAAGGGTAAGGTCTGCGTATAACTGACCCTCCTGTTGGGAATATACTGGGTATGTTGTTGTTGTTGTTGTTGTTGTAAGCAGAACTTAAAATTCAGGTTTCAACAGTTTGTAAGCTCAGAATTTGAAATCCAAGAAACAAGTAAAACTACAAAAAACTAGGAATCCAGCAAAAACTAATAAGTTAATAATGTGAACCAAATATTGCTGAACACCTAATGATAACTATCAAGATCTCAATCACAACAGATATAAAGCTATGTGACACAGATTTCATTTGTTGTAACAGTTAATAGTATAAGCAGAACAAAAAATTCAGGTTTTAATATATAGATTACGCTGCGTACCAGGTGACAAATAAGGTATAGTATGATAATTAGAGATCAAACAAATGCTTTACATAACCAACACAAAATCTGATTCAATGTCAACTCATCCATATTTGTTTCATCAATCAATAGTTACAATTATTTGTATTGTGCAACACATACTATTAAGCTGCTAAACAATTGGTCAATAGTTACCAAATCATTCACACTACTGTCACCAACAATAGTATCCATAGCATACAGTGAATCTCATATAAACAATAACGACATAAGTCATAACACCCAACAGAGGGCCAGATCTACTCAAATTCTATCTAACCAAACAGATCGGGAAATCAATAAACAGAAAAACGAAGCTCCAAAAAGCAGTACCATGTTAATCAAGCACAAGGCAAAGATCCATAACCTCCAACATCATACAGACTTAACAACAACAAAATCAGGCACTAGATCTACTAAACTTGCCTCCTACAGCTAGATCAAATATACTAAACAAAACTGTGTTCATCAAGGGAGTGGAAAAACAGATCTTACCAAAAACAGTGTTGGTCGGATTCATAGCAACCTGGTTCTTCGCGGCATCACCAATGAGCCTCTCGGTGTCCGTGAACCCGACATAGGACGGCGTGGTCCTGTTGCCCTGGTCATTGGCGATGATCTCGACACGGTCGTGCTGCCACACGCCGACGCATGAGTACGTCGTTCCCAAATCAATTCCAATAGCGGGACCTTCGCCTTTCCCAGCCATTGCTTTCAAATCGTAGATCTAAACCTTCACAGCTGAGAGAGTGCTTTTTTAGACGGAGAAAAATCGAAAGCTTTGAACAACGGCGGGCTAGGGTTTGTGAGAGAAGGAGCATTGTGTTGGGGTGAAGGTATTTATAAGGAAAGAGGCGCGAGGGCTGAATATTCACAGGTCTCTCTAGAATGTTCGGAAGCTCTAATGTTTTAGGAACCGTCGGATTAGTGGGAAGGTAATGGACGGTGAGGATTTGGTGTGTTTTATTGGTTAACGTGTTGAGATGCCGACCATTGGGGTATTTCGGCCCTTTTTGTGTGGTTGGAAGTTGGATTGCACCAGCTGTTTTATTGGTTCTTTGCTTCTGTTTAGGAAAGGTATATTCTTTTTTTTTTTTTTCCAAACGAAAATAATTATATTGCCTCAATAGAAAGTCATTCGTACATCAACTGAAAGCACACTAACTATTCCAGCAAGCTAGACTAGCAAGTAAACGGGCATACACAGCAATAAGCCCTAGACAACCACAAAGGGTTTACAGTTTTAACTAGAAAGTAGCAATAAAATTACACATGTCAAAAGAACTGTACAACTGCATAATATCATGAAATACTCGTGACAATGAAGATTGGAGCTCACTGTGAGAAAGAAGCTGAAGTAGAGTCTGTTCATTTGGGATGCTCCATTGAATTCTCTGCCAGTTCCTGCTTCCAGTTACCTCCAAAGCTCCTCTAACTGCCAACAGAACTGCTACATGAATATCATCTACTTCAGCTTCTTCCTTCTGCCATTCTACCACAAATGCTCCATTCCTATCTTCCCTACACTCCCATTTCACTGCTCCTCCAGAAAGACATATGGCATTGATCTGTATATGCACAAATCCTACCGTCTTGGAAAATTGCTTTCTTTTGTAGTCAGTAAATGCTTCTTCTTCCACTTCTTCCAACTGCATAGGAAAGGTATATTCTACTTGATGAATATATTACAAATAGGGTTAATTGCAGGAAAAATTCTGATTTTTGCTTAAATTGCAAAAAAATCTTCACCTTTTTAATTTGACAAAAAAATACCAAATTTTTATTAATTTTTGCAATTGTATCTCGAAATAACATTCCGGCCAGATGACTCTTATAAATATTTTTCATTACATAATAAAAAAAAGAAGAAGACGTGCAATTTCTATAACTCTTATAAATAATAATGATATTATATTATAATATATTTTATAATAAAATAATAATTAAATATTATATAGTGAACAAGAATAAGTAAAATTGTTATTTTCTCTTATATCAAGGAATAAATATATATAATAAAATCAAATTTATATTAGTATAATGTGTTAGTGAGATAATATATTATTTATTTTACAAGCTAGCCCTAACATACTCACATTCAATGTTCTGACTAATGAAATAATGTTGATTAAAATAGGTGAAAAATAAATTATAACCCTAATTTTTTAGACTTAACGGTGATTACAAAAGGTAGAAAATGGATGATAACTCTATTGCTTTTCAGACTTAAACGGACAGAGTCTGTGAAAATAATTCATTTAATATCTATTTTCCGTGCATCGCACGGGGTACGTACTAGTTTTAAAAAAGGATATTTAAAGTACTAATTTTATAAAAGTACTAATCTACAATCCTAATAAGTATTGTCAACAAATAATATTTTATTTTATGTAAAACTACAACTACCAAATTTATTATTTCAAACATAAATAATTCTAATAAAAATAAATTCTTATGAAATTAAAGTACTCGGAATAGTTAACGGATGTTCTCAATACTATATGCTTTCTCATATTTACCCCGAAAATTCATCTAATATAATTCTTTTCTCCCAAATAAATATGAATTAAGTGATTTCTATAAAATACACAATAATTCACCTAATATCTCGGAATTACATGCATTCCACAATCTACCTATTTAGAATTTGCATATCATGATTTAAATATTCGCTTGTCACAATTTTCTCGAAAATTACATGTGTTTCAGAATACCTATGAGATTTTAATTATTAGACTAAAAAGTATTTAAAAAATCTATATCAAGTACTCCCTCCATTTTAAAATATAAGGCATATAAAGATTTCTCATTTTTTTTGAAATATAAGGCGCGCTCAAAAATCAAGACAAATTTTTGCATTTTTTTCCAAATATACCCTCATTGTGTTGAAATTAAGGAAGTGTGGAGTGGTTGTGATTAGAATAAATAAGGTTAATTTAGTCAATTTATTCATTAATTAATGTCTCCTTAATATTTGTGCAATAACCTTAAATGCCTTATATTTCAAAATGGAGGGAGTATCTTCTAAAAGAAAATCGACATTTCATCAAAAGCAGTATTTAAAAGGTTATCAATTTAGCGTTGTTAAATTAAACGAGTCTAATTCAACTTTGCTCGTTAATGCTCGTGTTCAGCTCGACTCGTTTGATAAACAAGCCGAGCTCAAGTACTTTTAAAGTTCGTTTGCTTAACAAGTCGAGCTCGGCTCGACTCGTTAAGGCTCGAACCTGACTCGTTATAAATGATTAAAGAGCCAAGCTTGAGCTCGGTTCTAGGCTCGTTTATTTATCGTTTATAGGCCCAATTATCATACCACTCGGACATTGGTTTGAAGTTTGAATTTCTAACCTTGTACCATTTCACGTGGAAAAGGTCTTGCTACTATAATTGCTTGCTTTGTGATGATCAATTATTTATTGGCTTGTGATCATCATTATTTTTTAGTTTTAACTCAGGAAGCTCGTTTAGTTAACAGACAATTCATGTGAGGCACTACATAAATACCCACTGCAGTTCCTTCACGAACCAATTGGCTTCACCTTTGTCGAAAACAGTCTACAGAAAACATCAATTTCCACTCGACCATATCTACTTTCTTCAGCGCGAATGGCATAGACAATTAGCTAGGTTAGAAAATCATTAACATGAACTCGAAAATGGTTATCAGTAATGCCACTGATGAGCCTTTCTAGTAACCCCTGTGTATGTGAGGCCACAGGTGATTTCCAGCAATCCATCTTTCTCATTCAGCTTCGTGCAAATTGAAAATGGCACCTTCATTAAATATTGAAATTGATGAAAATATTTTTTTTACAACTTATGTGAGAATGCAGAGACTATTGCATATCGGTCTTTACGGAAAGTTATTGATACCATTTTTGACAAAGCAGAGACTAAAGGCAATTGTGAGAAGGTTATTTTTGTGATTTTGCTGAAAGACCCTATTGTCGGAAGAGGATTACACGTTCAGGTACTAAAGGAGATAGAACACGAAAGATAATGGCAGCCAAATTCAAAGCACGGAAAAAACAGTTTTCTGATAACAAGAGCTCAACAGTTTTCTGATAACAAGACTCTTGATTCAGGTACTGAATATATGCTTATGATTCATTCAAAGCCCATTTTCTGTGAATCATTTACAGTTATGCGAGCAATTAGCAGTATTTGAGGTGAAGTGATTAATGCAAAATCAAACGGCATTTTCTAGTAACAAAAAAGTGACACGAAAAGTTTAGCTAAATGCAAAATAACACGTTTAATTGCAACGCAATAAACCACAATTAAATGCATATTAACCATCCCAAAAAAGAAAAAAAGAACTTTCGCCATTCGATTGAGATAAACCAGACTGGCTTGAACAAATGCCATATCTAACATTAAACCAACAATAAATAAAACAAAAAGAGTGAAAATGCAGAATTCAAAAAGAGCAATAAAATTCACTGCACAACTGAGATGAAACTCAACACTGGCAAGTCAATTGCATTCCACACAGCTACCAGAAAACAACGAACACATTGAACAACCAAACTTACCAATAACAGGAGATTACCATTCCAGCCCAAACAAAAGAAAACAAGATCTAACAAAGAGCAAACCCAACCCTACCTCGTAAACCTAATCCACCAAAACAGAACACTTAAAAAACCATAAACTTGGATTTTATACAAGACAATCCAAATCCTAAGACCTCAACCCCCAAAACCATACAAGGTACGCCCCTGCCTCTTCAAAGCATAGACAACATCCATGGCCGTCACAGTTTTCCGGCGAGCATGCTCGGTGTAGGTGACCGCATCACGGATCACATTCTCCAGGAATATCTTCAACACGCCGCGAGTCTCCTCGTAGATGAGTCCGCTGATACGCTTGACGCCGCCCCTACGGGCCAGACGGCGGATCGCCGGCTTCGTGATGCCCTGAATGTTGTCCCTGAGCACCTTACGGTGGCGTTTAGCGCCGCCCTTGCCCAAGCCCTTGCCTCCTTTGCCACGGCCAGACATTTTTTCGCAGTTTAGAGAGAGAAAGCTTTGATCTTGATGGAATTGAATGGAAAAAAGATGATATTGATGACTTAGTCATGGGAATCTGTGGGTATTATATAGTGGGAGGTTTTGGGGTGGGAGATGATGAGAGCCGTTGGATGGGGGAGTTATGGGACGGTGAGGATGTTGATCCGCGTTAAGTGAGTTGAGTAGTTCTCATCCGTGGATAAGAGATAGATCGACGGTAGGGAATTTGATAGTGAGTAGTGCGCGCGGATTGTGGTTTTTTGTGTCTGGGTGGAAAAAAGGGGGGAAGTTTTTCATTGGAAAATTCGCAATTTTCTCCCAAATTCCAAAGTATAGGCGGTTGAAGTGAAACCAAATCAAATCAAATGTACTTGAAATTCATCTTTTTCTAATTTGATTTTGAATATTTCGAAGGAAAATCCATTATTTGTACTTTTGAATTTATAATATGAATATAAATAGTATTTTATATTCAAAATTTATATGAATTTAATTTTAAATTCACAATGATTACCTATTTAAGTCGTTAATATAATTATATAGAAATTCAATATATTGTAAATAATTTCATTCATATAAATACTTGTATTGGTACATGCATTACACGAGTGTTAATTAAAAATAAAATTTAAAAATTAATTAAAAAAATGAAAGTTTTTACTTCAAGAATTTAAAATGCTTCTTAAAAATAATATTTTTTATTTAATTTATATTTATGAATATATATATGTATATATATTCGTTTAATATATATAATATGGGTGACAAGTTGAATATCACTTGGCATTTCTGTTAGAAAAAAGACGGTTTGTGAGAAGAGGTTAGTACCTTATAGCCGATAAGAAGACCAAAGTTTTTTCCACAAATAGTGTTAATTTGTTGCGTTAATCTTCGTCGTGAAACGGGTTGGACTGTCCACGCCTTAAACCCCTTCGTCTTTGAGATTTGGTGACGTGCAATACAAATCTCCTTGACTGTCTATGCCTTGAACCCCTTCGTCTTTGAGATTTGGTGACGTGCAATACAAATCTCCTTGAACTGTCTATGCCTTGAACCCCTTCGTGACTTAGGTCCCGGCGGAAAAACCTTAGACACTCAATTCAAAACTTGAACATATGTGAGAATATGTAACTTAAGGTGTAGACGAACCTGATAGTTAACCTTATATAAGATAGTTATTTTGATACCCAGAAAATCCTTGTTAGGAAAAATATATCACCATATCACATTTTATAATTTACCACGTCTATATCTATACAAGTCATTTGAGCAAGTCTATTCATGACAGAAAATTCAACTTTCATCTAAGTGGCATAACCATCATCTTTCAAATCATTAGTAGAAAATAGAATGTGATTTACTTTATTTTGTGACCCAAGAAAGAGATTGCTAGCTTATGACCAAAAAATATAGTTCGAACCGTTGAGTTTGATAGGGAGAAAAAAAAACTATTGAGTTTGTTGGTCGTTCCGAAGTAGGTTTAGTTTCAAAAGCCATAATGAGAAAGCTATCTCAAAATAGCAGCAAGATTTTTTTTAAGAAAAAAATAAATAAATAGATTGTCTTACTACAGTAGTTTTTTTGACAAATTGTCTCAAAGCATCAGCATCTGTAGAAAAAGTATCAACGGAAGAGAACGCACTCTGGTACCATATTGGAGATAAAAGAGAATATCATAAGGAGAAAATTTATATATATATGATGTAGCACAAACTCATGGTATTTATAGTGGAAGGAATGAATCAAGATATGAGAAGTACCAATATATAAAAGATCAGTTTTCCTATGAAACCAACAGTTATCTCTATAATGGAGCCAACTTTCTATATACAACCGTAAATCATACCATATTCTATGGTTACTTAAATAAATACTAATAATTTTATCAATATGGTATGATTTACTTGTTGTATATAGAAGATTGACTCCATAGAGCCAACAGTTGGCATCATAGTATATAAGACCTACTTACAATATCGAGATAAACTAAATCAATCTATCTAATAAGAACATATGCGCAATTCTAACTATAGAATATATACACAAATATTTTAACACACGCTTACAAGTTCTTAATTCTAATACAAATATGCTAAATTATACAATTTATAAATGATTTTGATTTATTTTTTTAATTAGTTTCTAAAATTTATTTATTTATGACTTCTCTATGAATTATTTATACATTATTCTGTTTTGGTTGTTGTATTTTTGCAAAAATATCAAAAGTTGTAGTAATCATGTAAAAGAGGCTGTTGCCTTAATAACGCAACCAAGACGGGTGATTAAAAAAAATGATTCTCCACAACCAAGCCAGTATAGGAAGAATCATTATTTTCAAAACCGGATCGAACCGGCCAGACAAACTGGTTGACAGTCAGTAGACCGTTCGGAATAAACCGATTGTCAGCAAATCGATCAAAATCAATCAACAACCAATTGATTCAGTCAAAACCGACCAAAAACCTACTAGTCGAATCAATGTGAACCGAGCTAGATTTTAAATATTTTTATTAAAAAATACATATTTAATTATAATAAATATATAAGTTAATTGCTAATTTAAATATTGGAATGTTTTAAATTGTATAAATATTTAATTAATAATGTTTTTTATGTATAGATCTTATTATATAAAATATTATATATACTTAAATATATTAATAAATTAAACACCGAGCAAACTTGATCAACCATTGGTCCGATCAATGAACCATTGAACAAGTAGTTTGTTCATTGAACAAGTAGTTTGACTAGTTCGACGGCCAGTTCAATTTTGAGAAAAACTCTCATCTCATATTTCTCAAGGTTAAAAGAAAACATAAATAAAAAAAAAATATTTAACTACTGAGGAAGAACATTACACTCTCCAAGACTCCAACCCTCGGTATAAAGTGTCCAATAAAGTTTGGTAATAAAACGAAAAGAGAAATAAATAAAAATAAAAAATAAAAATAAATGAAAGGATACATCTATTATGATTTTCCTTGGGTTTCTTCATCTTCATCGCCCTTTTGGGCACCTACAGTTTGCAATTCGATGAGCTTCTGCTTTTCCTCATCACTACTCTCCCCGACCTTAACAACTTCACTAATGGCTTTCGGCTTACCGCTAGTTGACTGCTGATACATAACTCCACCTGCCATGCAGATGAGGAGCCCCACAGTCCCCACAACCGTCGAGTGCTTGTCCCAAATAACCAAATTTATCACCACCGTCAAAAGCTTATTCACTATCCCAAGAACTGTGAACCCCGTGGCCGAGATCGCCCTACGGCACGAAAACCCGAAAAACGAGATCGCCAGCCCAAACAAACACGACAACCCAACTGGCAAAACCACCCCAAACGAGTAAGGCCCGTCATCACGCTCGATTTTCTTCAATTCCCCCATCACAAGCAACTCCAAAGGAAATAACAGTAGAGCCTCGAGATTGTTATACAACACGAGCCCCCACGTGTTCAACCCGATTGTCATCACGACATGCTTGATGTAAACAAAATCTACGGACATGCTCACCAAATACGCGAGAGCCCAGCTATAGGCCGCGGGCGTGAACTGGTAATCGGTTATCACGTAAAGCACACTACCGGCAAATATAGTGGCGAGCGAGAGCCAAGTCTTGAGAGCTGGCCAAGGCTGCTGCAAGTAAAGGGTTTCGCCAATGGCGACAAAAATGGGCACGGCCGAACGGAAAACAATGAAGGTGTCGACATTTGCGTGAAGGAGAAGCTCGCTGTTAGTGAATAACGACAGATAGAAAATGAAAGCGGCTGGCAAGAAGCGCCACATCGTTAGAAGGTCGAGCTTGTCGTGCTCGATTAACTTGAGCCAGCCGCAAATGACGACCCCCAGGAAACTAGTCAAGTATTGCAGTGCAGTTAGGGCTCCAGGGTATGGGAATTTCATCACAGCCCATTTGTTGATGATCGATAGTAATGAGGCCGAGATGCAATAGCCCGCGGCTATTCCGTAAACTGAGGCCTGTTTGATCAAGGCATCACAACAAGAGGAGAGGGGCCCGGGTGATGTGTTTTCTTTATCAGGGTTTTCGACATCGTTGGACATTTGATCTGCATCTACATTTTCAGCACAAAAATGGGGAAAATAGATGAGTATAAGATTGGAATTTCATTCACACAGTTAATGAATGGGCTTGAAAGGATTCACACACAAGCATACAGAGTGTACCACTGGTAAGGAAATTGCTGCACTTCTTACAGAGTATTTCATTTACAGCTATTTATTATAGTTGTTAAATTTATTTCTTCTACACTTAACAGTAGGGCCGGTCGTGCTGTGCACAAACCTTTTCCTCTAGTATATATATATGTGTGTGTGTGTGTGTGTGTGTGTGTGTGTGCTTGTGAAAATAAATGTGAGTGTCATATCTTATCAAATACAAATATATAACCGACCTAAAGTATACTTTGTAGCCATTTTTTTGAGTAAATTAAGGTCCGCTGAACATGCAAATAAGGCGCTTTTCCTTAAGAATTGGCCCCCCAGTTTATTTAGAAAGCTGCACTTCTAACCTATTCACTTTTTTATTTTAAATAAATTGTTTCTTTTTGTTTCATTTTTATTTTGGTGAGGATATTATCAGGTGGACTTATTATATTCAATATGATCCAAATAGCATCCAACAACATAAAGCTTTTATATATAGGTATAGCACAAAGTTGCATATGCTAGATTGATCCAAGTCGACCGAATGAGTTCATGTGAAACTGTATATAAAAAATATAATTTCCTATTATGTGAAAATAGATTAATTTCTTTATTAAATTAAACCATTATCAGGAGGGCAGTACATCTTACTCGAGGTGCTGTGATAAATAAAGAAAAGTAATTACAATGTGATATGGCTATTATACGAATATGACATATGACATACAATCATAGTATTTAAAGTTGGATACATCACGAATACAATTGGTCAATAGTTACCAAAACATTCACATTACTGTCACCAACAATAGTATCCATCCATCACATCTAGTGGATCTCATATAAACAATAACGGCATAAGCCATAACGCAACAGAGGGCCAGATCTATTCAAATTCTAGCTAACCAACAGATCGGGATATCAATAACCAGGAAAACGTAGCTCCAACAAGCAGCACCAAGTTAATCAAGCTCAAGGCAGAAATCCATAACCTCCATATCATACAAACTTAACAACAACAAAATCAAGCACTAGATCTACTAAATTTGTCTCCTACAGGTAGATCAAACAGCATATACTACACCAAACAGAACAAAACTGTGCTCATCAAAAGAGTGGAAAAACAGATCTTACCAAAAACAGTGTTGGTCGGATTCATAGCAACCTGGTTCTTCGCCGCATCACCGATGAGCCTCTCGGTGTCCGTGAACCCGACATAGGACGGCGTGGTCCTGTTGCCCTGGTCATTGGCGATGATCTCGACACGGTCGTGCTGCCACACGCCGACGCACGAGTACGTCGTTCCCAAATCAATTCCAATAGCGGGATGTTGTGGAAAGGTCGGAAATTTGTGGAATAGAGATGGAGAAGAAGGTGGAAGAGAAAGAAATTAGGGATTTGCTTTGTGAAAGAAGACGGGGGGCGGGGAAGGGAAATGAAGACAAAGCAGTTGACACACTTTTGGGCTTCAGCGAGCATGGGCTGGAGCAAGTGATTACTTAGAGCATCTGGCAACTTTTGACATTATAAAAAGTTATCCATATCATCAACTTTTGAAAGTGTGTTTCTATTTTTTTCTCCAGTGCATCTTGTCATGAACTCTTTCATGATGAGGTGGATGTCATTTAATGTTGACAATGTTAAGCACACTTTCTAATATCTAACAGCATGTTAAACATGATGACTCATCAATTTACTTTATATTTATTTTAATTTTATATTTTTTTTGTATCAATGAATTATTTAATTGGTCCACCTATACAAATAATTTTTTATCAAATTGATGCAATACTAGTTTCATTAAAATTTTTAGTCTTTTAACATTATTCCAATGTGGATTAACATTACAATCATTAATTGACATGTGTTAAAAATAATGGTCTTTCACACTTATAGCATTGGAGATGCTCTTAGAGGGTTGTGGAATAAGAATTACCATTTTTTAAAAATGGCATGTCAAACTATTGGTCAAAATTGGTTAGCATTAATGACTTATATTAGTAGAATTCTTTTTTTCTTTTAACAACATTAATTGTTGTCCTTCACATGTGGAGGTTATTACAAATTTTACATAATCGAGCAGTCCCTTTTTTATTTTCGCAAAATCTGAAACTAAAAAAGAAATCGGCTAATAGACTTTAATTAGTTGATTTTTTAATAAAAATAAATTTTGACAGATTAAATAATATAAAATTTATGTATCTTCAAAAAATGGGAAACTTTTTTTAACATAAAAATGGCTTATACAACTATTTTGATTGGCAACTTTTATTTTTTAATTATACTTATGCATCTTCAAAAAAATCAAAAACTTTTATTTTAACAGAAAAGTAGCTAATACAATTATTTTTATTGGAAATTTTTATATTTTTTAATAAAAAATAATTGCATATTTACTAATAAAACATAAAAAAATATGTAAAAATATTTTTCTAACTATCAAATCTAGCTTTTTTGTTTTGATTGCTCTAAATTAATTATTTTTTTTTTACAAAAAATAAAACATTGGTACATTAATTATAAATTGGTGAGACACTGTGTATATATAGACTTAGATACATTTATCACATACTATTGCCTAAATTAATGATTTTATAATTTTTAAAAAATATCAAATCTAAGAGTGGAGTCTTCTTTATTTATTAAAGGATATTTCGTGTTCTATTCAAATTCAAAATTTAAATTGTCGATATGAATATAAATTTGGATAGATTAAAGAAATATTATCCCTTAAATGAAGGAATGTATCCCTTTCAAATACACAAAATCTAAACTGTAATCTATATATATTGAAAAAGGTTGATGGAAAAATCATTTGTGGAAAGTTTGACAAAAAAAATATAATGTTTGACTTACTATTAGTGGAAATTTTTAGTAACAATTAACAAAATCTGAATCTTATTCATTTGGTAACAAATTTGGAGATTCTTATGACAAAATTTTGAATCCCACTTTTTTTGTATTATTTTTTTTTTACCACAATCTAAATCCCATTTTTGTAGGTAACAAATTTGGAAATTCTTATGCAAAAAATGTGTCAATTATTTATGAAAATAATTCCAAATACAAATTAATTTAAAAATCGTGCAAATTGGATACAAATTTGGGAAACAAATAATTGTATAATTCTTAACATTCTTTCAATATTTTTGAATAATTTTATCTTTCAACAAATGTGTGCAAATTGGATAAAACCACGTGCAATTTTTAATTTAAAACAAAGTTGAGATTTGGACAAGATTTACATTCAAAATCGCATCCACGTTTGTTCATAACAAAATCGGTTCATCTTTGATTTTAAAGTAAAACTTTATCCAATTATTTATAAAAAAATTCAATAATATCAAAATCATGTGTAACTTTTACAAGACCGTGTGCAACTTTTCAAAAATGTACCAATATTTTTTTATTCTTATGTTTTTTTTTTAACTATGTTTTATCGATATTTTGGTAAGTTCATATCAATTTTTTCGTTAAGTTCGTATCAATTTTTTTTAAGAAAGAAACAATTTCATAAATTTTAAGTTCTTAACAAATTATTTCTATTTTTTATTAGAATTAATTTCATTTCAATTTGTTTGGTAAAAAAAATTGGTGCAATGTTAGGACAACTAGTTTTTAACCCGTGCATTTGCACGGAAAACAATATAATAGAACAAAAAATATTAAAAATATATAAACAATAGTAAAAATCATAATATAATCATTGGAAAAATGTTCTAAGAAATAATAACTAAATATTGTTAAACAATTTTTTATATACAACGTTTGTGATTTTTCTATCAACAGAATTTTCATCACTACAAATCATATCTTCAAATTAAGACATATAATGGTTTTAATTGTTTAAATAATTATTGTATTTTGTACTATAGATCATATAGGAAATTTAAAAAAAAATACTAAAAAAATACCAGCAAAATATTACAAAATAAATAATTGTATTTGGTTGATAAATAATGATATGTGCCAAATATTTAAGACATTTGAACAAAATGACAATTTTTGGGCCATAAAGAAATATATTGATTGAATGATAAAAAAAGCCCAAATTAGAAGTCCACTTAATTTTTTAGGGTAGCCAAAATCAAATATAAAACAGGTCAGTGATAACATGACTATAAATAAAGATAAACTCCTTGAGAGTGATGTAAGCCGTTTTTTTTTGTTTGATGTCGGCGCTTCTCTCGTTATTCACTCTGTCTGAAACCCTAATCCTTAACCCGATATTACGACAAACTCGGCGAGATTCAATACAAAACAACTGTTTTACCGGAGATTTTCTCCCGGTACAGGCTTAAAAAATTAAAAAAAAAAAGACATCCGAGAAATGTTGTTTTTGGGACCAACAGTAGTGATCGAAAAATAAAATATTCGTCTCGATTTCTTAATCTGTGTTGCTAAATCTTAACAGGTCGGTCAAAATCGGGCGATAATATTACAAATCTATGATGAGCTGAAATATTTTTTGTTAAACGTAGCTTTTATTTTTTATTATTTTCAATGATCTGTGTCGTTTTTCGAAATTCTTTGTGAATTAGCTTCAAGATATATTATATTTTATACATAATTCGAAATTATTTAGATGTTTTTCAAAATCGTTTTTCGAAGAGAACATGACATTGGTCGAACTTTTTCAAACTTTTATGTATTTTATTCAGGGTTTGAAAAAATATGTAAGTTTATAACAGATATGTTCAGCTCTACTAACAAATATATATGTAAGTTTATAACATATTTGTTCATATCTTTTTATAACATACATATGTAACTTTTATGTATTTTGTTCAGATTTTGAAAACTAAATAGTTCAATTCTTTGTCTTCTTTCTCATTATATCAGTAAGTGAAGCTTTGCTAACACTTGTTCAAAATCGCTTTTCGAAGTTATTCAAAGTCTTTTGCCGAAGTTTTTCAAATTTTTTAGTATTTTGTTCAAAATTTGAAAATATTAGGTAAGTTTATAACAAATCTGTTTAGATATATTTATCGCATATTATGAATTTTTTGTTTAATGTTTAAAAGAATCTGTAGGAATTTTTATTTTTAAAACTTTTACGCAAAAAAAAATCGATTTTAATATAAAGGCAGATGTCTTGGTAAAAGTTGAATATGTTGATAATGATAGAGAAATCAAATTATTTTTCTTTCTATATTGTATAGTGTTCAATAATGTTCCACATAATTTGTTGTGTTTTTAATTTTGATTTTTTCATATAGATTTGACTTTTTTTTGTTGATTATTAATTATGGTTGATATTTCTATATTATGCAACAATCTGCAATTACATACAATGCCTTGTCAATTCTCATTCTTTGACTTTGCCAATTTTCATTTAATATGACTTTTATGTTGCTGAAAGTATGTTTTTAATGCATTAAAATATTGATGTTTTAGATATATTTTGATGCTATAATCATGCAGAAATTTGTCCCGCCACTTTTTTCTTAAAGAGGAATTGTTTAAGGAAAATTAATCATTTTTATATTTATAATTGTGAAATAATGTTTTTTTTTCACGGCCAACAATTATTTTGTTTTAATGAAAAATGTGAGACAATTGATTCAAGACACTTTTTAATTTATAAAAAAAGAATGTTGATTGCGATAATCAAATATGCGGAAATCATGCATTTTATTGAATAGTAGTAATATAAAATATTTTATTATTACTACCAAATAGAAAGTCAAAGAATGTTAATTTTGCACTATTAATTATGATCATATGGATTTGTTTTTTATACATATGTTTTTTCAATGAACTTTTTAAATGATAATATTGACAATATAGAGTTTGCTATAATAATTATATAGACTGTGTTATAATAATAATTTATTTATTTAATTCATAATTCATCTTATTGTGCGTATAGTCTAAGTTTATAAATTATATGTCATTTAAATGTATCTATACTACTAATTTATAAGGTTTTACCATTTGGGGAGCTAAATTTTTAATTTTAATTATGAAACTAATCTTTCTTATCATTTTGTAGTTATATATTTGATTGAGTATGGCTGAAAATTAAATTACAAAAAAAAAATAATTTCATTTTTTATATTGTAATGTAACATGATATGTATTATAATGTTTGTAATTAATACATTTATTAATATTTCTTATAACTTTAATTGCTTATTCAATTCATAATGAAATAAAAAATAATAATATATAGTTTCTGCACAACAATAATGACTGTCACGTTTATATATATAAATAAGAATAAGAGACATAAATGTGGGATTAACTAAAAGAATCTTTTTTAATTTAGTCATTAACTAATTAAGTTTAACTAAAAAAAACCTTCTTTAATGTGAGATTAATGAGTAATTAATTAAAAAAATGTAACTTCTTTTGGAGGGAAAATGAAAATGTTTTTATTAAATGTTTTATTAAATGAGGTTAGCTAGCAATTATATATATATAGATTTATTATTTATTTAGGAATTTCAAATATATTTTTTATTTTCAAAAAAAAATTAAATGTAACAACAATAATAACATCTAATCACATTATACGGTCAACACATTATGTCATTAATCAAAAGTTTAAAATGATTTTTGTAATTTTGAAGTGATGAGTATTAATTATTTAATGATTAAATGAAAGATTAAATACATCAAAATGTAACGGTTTTTGGAGGGAAAATTGTTAAATTGCCACATAGGTAAAATTAAATAGGTTTTATTAAATTCTATTAGCTAGTAATTATATATATATAGATTTGGTTGCATTTTTAGGAAAAAATGATGATTCTTTTAAATCAAATTTCCGGATCAATTTGTTTGGTAAAAACAATCGGTGCATTGGTAGGAAAGTCGGTTTCATTTTTAGAAAAAAATAATTATTTTTTTCAATTTTTCATAATCACAACATTGAATTAGATTTATTTATTTTTTTAAAAAGGCGTGAAAATCTTAAAAGTTTCTACTTTTGGTCTACTAGAATTTTTATTAATAAATAAGATCCCTCAATCTATACATATATAATAAGAATTACTATTTACCAAAAATAGTAAGCAAAAAAACCTGGCAACATTAATTGCATACCATTTCGTACAAATTTTGTTTTTATTTTTTATTTATTAAATGAGAAATATTTAAATATGATTTCAATCACGGATACTTAGTTTTGGTAACCAAATTGCTCAATTTTGGTACATATAATGTTTTTAAAAATTTGAGTTTTATTTCAATACCAATCATTTTTAAAATTAATTGATATCAACATTCATTAATTTTGGAAAAACACTTGCAAGTTCACGACCCATAATAATTGTGTGCAATTCATCAAATCAATGATATCACATAATTAATTATCAGATTTGTAAGTTTTCAGCCTAGTTGAGTTTTAAAAGAAAAAAAGAATCATTTGGACGCCAAAAAAAATTGTGTAACAAAATAATTTTGCCGATCAAAAAAATAACAAATCTACCGATACACACTCAAATTCTAAGAGTTCTTTTGACTAATCGTAAACATTCAAAAAATTCAAACATAAAAGAACAAAAATCGAATATAAAAACCTTAAAATTAAAAATTCCACATTTCCTTTTCGGGCAAAACAACTAAAATTAACAAAATCTACCGGCGCACACTCAAATTCGAAGGATTCTTTTGATTAATTGTAAAAACCAAAAAAATCAAACATAAAACTACAAAAATCAAAAATAAAAACCCTGAAATTGAACAATCCATATTTTGTATCGTGCAAAACACCTAAAACTAATTTAAAGCATCGATTAAATGAAAACTAAAAAAGAATATGTATTTATAAGACCCTCAGTGTTAGAACGAAAAAGTTGGAAGAAGATCGATGAAAAAGACGAAAAAAGAAACTGGAAGCGGCGAAAAATGAAGGAAGAAATGAAGCCCCTGGTCCGATAATTTCATTATTTATACTATGTTCAGTGTAATCTAAACCGTTGATTTGCGTTGACTAATCTGAATCATTAAATTATTTTTTCTGTTTTGTGTTGGACCGATATGAACTTTCGAAGCCAACATTGTAAATTGGGCCGATATGAACTTTTTGAAGCCCACATTTTTCAAAAACATTCCTGTTTTACAAGTCCAACATGATTAATATAAATAATTACACGTATCCTATAATAAGTATTTATTAGGTTTAATTATAATCAATAATCGGTGCTTTAGTATATAATTTGAATTTAAATACAAATTTGCCTTTTAAAAAGGACGGAAATAATAAAGTCCCGTGCATCGCACGGGTACTGTACTAGTTATTTTAAAAAAATATAATTTGTTAACTAATAACTAATAATATGCAATTTTAGATAAATTTTGAACATACATAAAGTACTTTACGAGCCAAAGAATCAAATCAAGAATGTTATAAGGAAATGTTCAATAACATATAAATTTCATTTTCATGATATTTTTATTGTTATTAGACAAATTAAATATAAAAATATATTTTAAAAGAAAAGTAGGTAATAAATGCTCCCGTGCATCGCACGGGCACTGTACTAGTTTTAGATTTATTAAGCACATGTGTGAGCAAATAAATTAAATTTAAACTTTTGGTTAGATTTCAAATTCAAGTGTGGACATTTGGACCAAGACTTGTCTGCCCCAACTAAACTCGCCCAGCCCAAACTTTGAAGAAATTTACAAGTACAAATACACAGCCCATCGATTTCTCTAACGCGCTGCACTGCAGTACTGCACACATCCAGTTGCATTTGCAGTTCCTAATAAGAGATTTCGTTTCTTTACGAGCAAAAGGAGTTTTGCTAGGGCTTTGTAATTTCGCCACAATAAACCCAAAAAAAAAACTCTCTCTTAAAAATCCCCTGAAATTTCGATCACAAATGGCTTTCGCCTCCGCATTTCGTCGGATTTTGAGTGGCTCACCGTCGCCGTCTCTGAACACACGAGCGCAGTTCGCTTCACTTCGCCTCAATTCCACGCTCGTGACTCTCACCTCGCCCAAGCTTTTTATTAGTGGTATGCTTTATTGATATTCATTCTGTTATTTAAGAGATTTTNGAAATATCTGTGTTCTTATGGATAATCTACTGTTTTGTACCTAATTGGGATGCTTTTTGTGTGTGAAAATTCGGGTGGATTCATGTTCGTGTAGTTCGTTTGATGCCATGTGAGATGAGACAGTGAATCGAAAATGAACTGTGGTGATTTCATGATAAATGCTGGGAAATGTTCATTGAACTAATGGGATTACCAATTAGCCTAATTTTGTTTTCTGAGGATTGTATTATGATTATGATTTACGAATGAGGATAAAGACGAGCCTTTATGTGTACAGCAAGGCTACAGAGGTAACAAAACCCGCAAGATGGTTAGGCCCCACCTCACACTAGAATTTGTGTTATGTGTGAAAGATTTGTTCTGTGGATGGGAATAATGACATATAATAGCAAAGAACTGTAATATATACATACATATATATATATATATATCATTCATTGCATCCACATCATATGAGATGCTCAGTCATTTATTTCCATTAGTTGTTCGAGAGAAATATTGTACAACTTTAGTGTATAACTCAAATTTGACTCTATTTCTCAAACTTCATGGCATCTAGATAGAAGTTTGGGGGTCGATGCCCGAAAGATCTTACAACACAGTTTCTATACCAGTTATATTTGGTGGTATCAATAGACAAGCAAATGATTCAACTACTAAATAAGGCTTTGGTTTAAGTCAAGAGAAATGTTGCTGGGCTCACCAAATGTAGAAATTTGAAAAGAAAGGAATGCAAGAGTTTGGATATTGTGGCGAAAAGTTGTGGCTTTGAATCAAACTATTATTTATGCTCATATACTACCCAATTGGATCAACTTTAGTGTTTGTCTAGGTTGACATGACCCAAATTTTGGCAATCCTAAGTAATCCAATGCTGAGATTGTTTAGATGCAATCGGTCATAATATCATGTTGTTGCCACAATCGAGGCCTCGTACATAATATACAAGAAAGAAGCCAAAAAAAAAAAAACGATTCACATTTCGTATGCCAAAATATATTGTACCAAAAACTGATATTTGTTTATTTTGTCAGGTCTTTCACGAGTCACGAGTGATGAAAGCCTCTCCAATGCATTTGCTTCATTCGGAAGGCTTCTAGAGGGTAAATTAAAGAAATCTCATCTGCATACATTTTTTTATTCAGTTTCCAATAAATAAAAAAAATGATGCTATTTTTTCTTTTGTTTGTTACAGCAAAAGTGATATTCGATAGGACTACCGGTAAATCAAAGGGTTTTGGTTTCGTCACGTACGAGTCTGTGGAGGAAGCCAAAAAAGCACGTGAGGGGATGAACGCAAAGTATCTTGATGGATGGGTCATTTTCGTGGACCCTGCTAAGCCAAGGGAGGCCCAATCTCGCGGGCCTCCAAGGCAGAACACACAGTCGGCCCAGAATGGATTCACGGCGAACAAGACTGTCGGGTTTAGTGGTTTTTGAAATCTCGTTTGATATGTTTATGCAAAATCTGTTTCAGAAATATTTTTTTCCTTTTGGGAAAAATCAAAATGCTTATTGTAAGATGAAAACCCTTGTACTCCTTACCTAGTTTATGACTCTATGCTATTTGGGTCTGATTATTGTTATTATAAAGAGTGATGACTTTGTTGAGGAGTGGATTGGTAACCATTTGTGTCAAGTTTTTTACTATGTGTTCGTATGCAACTTAGCATCTGGTGCATAAATAAAAAGTAATACAAATTGTATTTATAATATAGTATTTAAAATCAAAATTCATTGTAGGAGGGATGGATGGGGTGTATTTATTCGAAATTTTTGAAGACTTGTTGGAAGTTTACGAATCCTAGTGTATTTAAGTTGTATTTTTTAAGACTTTTAAAACTTCTTGTTAAATATGAAAATCTTAAAAAATCTCATGTCTCAAAAAATTAAGAAATATCACTCAAAATTCTAAACAAATGAATTCTTATAATTTTGACTTATTATGTTTAAAGTAGATACACGTAGGATNAAATTAATAATTTTTTACATTTTTGTTTGTTGTGTTCAATCAAAATTTATTTCATTGAACAAAAATGAATAATTTTTTAAAAAGAATACTAATTTTCATCTCACTCTTTTCTATAACTCCCAATCACATAATTAAAAAATAAAAGATAATTATTATTATATATTTAATAAAAATATTGTTCATCCATTCACATATTTCTAATTACCAAACTTTTAACTAATATTTTATTATTTTTATTATACTTAAGTTTGATCATTATAGTTTTATTTTATATCAATACCCAACCCAAATTTATCACATTTTCTTTAAAAATGCATTGAGCAATTCCCGAATCCCGGCATTTTCCTTTACTGGAGTGGCTACTGACTACTGTGAGACCTTCAAAACCCTAATTAAGCTCGTTCCTTCGTCATCTTCTACATTCTGAAAGCATAATCTAGGCCAACAATGTCGATTGCCGCAGGTCATCACGTCTACATCAAATTCTCCGAGCTCAACAAGCCAAAGGTTCGATGTATTTTTTATTTTTTCACTCGAATACGTATGAATCAAGCTCATGCATTAGATTAGTTAACGTGATCTTAGATAGCTAGTAATGGAAGATATTTCTCTTTTTGCGAGAGGCGATGCTTGTTCTTATCTAATGAACAGTACGTGAAGAAAGATTTGCAATGCATAGGTATACTTTTCGGGGAGTCGCTTGAGAATGAGTTCCAGCAGAGTTTTTGCGGCATTATCTGTTACCAAGGATGTTTCGAATTACATACCAGCAGCTCCGATATTACTGCCTGAAGGGCCATGGAATCAGGTCATTAGTTCATTTCTATGTTATATTTCGTAACTTGATTTGATGATCTTTTCGTACATACGTGTTTTTTGTGCACAATGTGGCGGTTGTGGACGTGTGAGCTGAAATGGAGTTGTAAGGTGAGCTGTTATTTGTTTGTGTTTCAAGTATGTTTATGATGATAGAATACTTGTCTTTGAATTGGGATTCAATTATTATCAAGTAATGGGGATTTTATTTCGTTCAGACCATTACGTCTGGTAATAAGCACTTTGTTTATCATTTTGATGGATTTTTTTTGTTTTGTTATACACTTATCAATTTCTTAATTTCTGGGAAGATTGTGGTACATCTGAAACTGGGAACATGAAATCCAATTTCCTGTTATGCTTGTAACCGTACTTTGAAATTGAAATAAGAATGGTGCTTCTTATGTTATTAGGATTTAAGCCAAACGCTACCAATGTGTTCTTGTAGAAGGTCTTCATGTGTTTATTTGCTCAATGCTTATGTGGACTTCAATTTTTAGATTCCAGGTGGAGTTACAGCTGCAAAGGGTTTCAAAGCTGCTGGGATGTATGGTGGATTGCGTGCAGTTGGAGAGAAGCCTGATCTTGCTCTGGTCGCTTGTGATGTAGATGCCATATCTGCAGGTTGGTTTCCTTATCTAAGAGTTGGAATGCCTCATTGGATTGAGTGATTAATTCGCTTTTCAATGATTAAATCTCCATCATGGTCGGGATTGGAAAAAGTTCTAAGCTGCAATCCAATTCCTCGTAAAGCAAATCGCTGGGGAGCACACGAATGAAGTTTTATGGCTGTTAGCTTATTATTAGTCTTATAAAGTGAGTTATACTTAATAGTTAACAACAACTGTAGTTATTTTGCAGGTGCATTTACTACTAATGTGGTTGCAGCTGCACCTGTGCTGTACTGTAAGCAGGCCCTTGAGAAGTCGGCAACGGTATGTTATAGAAACATCATATCCATACTACAGGCCATATGATGCTCTCGTATTGTTTACTTATGAAAGCCGATTTTATTTTCCTGAAGGTTCAAAAAAATGTGTTGAATTTTTCACTTCAATGTCCCGTTATCAAGATAATCACAGTTAGCTAGCTTGTGCAAATTGTATGGAAAAAGACTAATAAAGAATCACAACTTAAGAACATAGTTGGAAGATTATGTTCGGGTTCATTTTTTTTTAATTTCATCTTCCTATTACCCTACATTTTTTTTTTCTTTTCTGTGAGAAACGAGTTAATGTATTTAATCCTGGTCATCGGTTCTCAAGGTTCCTGGTCTTTTTTNAATTAACACAACTGAAAAATGTGGATGGCTTGACCAACTCATCTCTTATAACATTTCAGGCACGTGCAATACTAATAAATGCTGGTCAGGCGAATGCAGCAACGGTAACTTTTTTTATTCAATTGCTTCTTCTCATCCAAAATATTGTAAAAGAAAAGAGAGAGCCTTCTAGAACAGTGGAGCTAAGATCTATAGAATTTGTTCCAGGGTGATGCAGGTTACCAGGATGTTATAGAATGTTCTCATGCCCTTGCTGAGGTATCATATTTCATTCCTCCCTTTTCCCTCGTTACTTAATGGAAAAGTTGCAACTCCCGCATTTAACTTCCTAATGAACACAGTTGATGCAACTGAAACCAGACCAAGTCTTGATAGAATCCACTGGTGTGATAGGCCAACGTATTAAGAAGGTCAATTCCTAGTCCTCGCTAATTCATGTGGTATTTTTGCTTAATGAATGTGTATTCTATGTTGTCTTATAGGCTTGATTAGAAAAGCCATTTTCTGGGCTGTGGCTGTTCACCTTGGATTTTACTTTTACATGAGAAATGTTATTCTCTGTGACGCAGGAGGCTCTTCTCAAGTCACTTCCAGACTTGGTAAATCGTTTATCATCAACAGTCGAGGGGTAACTGCCTAGATAGATTCGTAACTTCGTTTCTCTGCTGATAATTGACTAGTATTGAGCTAATTTTGGACCTAGATGATGAGATGGCAATTTTTAAGCTTTTTTCCTGTTTGACTTTAATCATGCTTTCATCATAACTCTATGATATCGTTTCCATTTTTTTTATTCTCCTTTATGCTTTTGCTGGTGTTGAAAATTGCTGCTCCATTTGCAGGGCAGACTCTGCTGCTGTAGCAATAACTACCACTGATCTTGTAAGAAAAAGTGTCGCGATTGAATCTGAGGTGTGACCCATTCTTTTTTTTTTNATGTGTGTTTTGTCCTCATTTGATGTTGATATAGAACTGCTCCCGACTTCAAGGCTAGCATGTGAGTGTCACTGATCATACCTCTGCATATGTAGCAGTGTAGATAGAAAGATGGCTATCTGCATAACCTCATGCTTTGCTTGGTCGCTTATATAGATACTGTTCATTTTATAATTTTCTTCTGCAGAAGTTGAAGAGATAGATTTATTGTGGTTCATTTTTCAAAAAACGGCCCTAACTGTGATCCGAAATTCACCTCCATCTTTAATTTCAACGATGGATGGTCCAATATCTATAATTTTAGTATTTCATTGCCTCACGAGCTTTGAAACTTTTGTCAGTATTTTATAGTATTCTCATGAAGCAGCTTATCTGTATATCAAAGTTTCAGGATATTTTGTTTCTATTAATATATCTTTCATATTTTAGGTTAGTGGAAAAAGAGTAATAGTTGGTGGTATGGCAAAGGGTTCTGGTATGATTCATCCTAACATGGCTACCATGCTTGGGGTAGGTTCTTACTATTTTCTTCTGTTTACCCAGCAATTGGCACATCTAAGTACTTAATAATGATATACCATTTGCAGGTCATAACAACTGATGCCTTGGTTACAACAGATGTTTGGCAACAAATGGTGCGAGTTGCTGTGAACCGTAGTTTTAATCAAATTACTGTAAGTGTCAAACTTATCCCTGTCTCATGCTTTGATTAGTGGAATAACTCATGTTGCTTGACTGCCTTTTACTGCTCAAAACATATAATATAAATTAGGTTTTCCCCCTTTTCTATCTCTCCTTTTTTCTTCGTTTTCTTATTTTGCTTCGTGTAACTAAATGAGATGAAACTTTCTGCTCTCTAAGACCTTATTGAGGATGATTCTTTGGCAGGTTGATGGAGATAGCAGCACTAATGACTGTGTTATTGCTTTGGCTAGTGGCCTTTCAGGAACAAATGAGATTTCTTCATTAAACAATTCCGAAGCCAAACATCTGCAAGCATGTCTGGATGCTGTAAGTGTATATTTCAGTCGATACGAAATGATCAATTTGTACGTACTATCTATGTTTGCACATGCAGAGTATCTGTTTGAAGTTTGTTTTCATATTTTTACCAATAGAAACCCTTCCCAAACTAAGAGGGTGATTGATTGCGAGTTAAAACTGATTTTAATCAATCAAATTTGAATCATGAGTTAAAATGAGTTATTTGTTAATAAAATTGATTGAATGGGATGAGAGAGATGGTAATTAAATAATATTTAAAATGTAATGATAAAGTTGATGGGATATAAAAGTAGGAGAGTGATGATGAGATAGTTAAAAATATGTGAGTGGATGAATAGTAAATTAAAGTTGATGTGATATAGGAGAGAGATGAGATGATATTATATAATTATAATTGATAATATTGAGGATAGTGGAGTCGAGTTAGATTTTTAGTTAAAGTGAGTAAAAAAAATTGATTCAATAATGATCGATTAAAATTAGTTTTAATTTGCAACCAGTCACGCCCTAAGTGGTCAATTTTCTGTATCCAGGGAAATTCATTCTGAAATACATTTCTTATTCTTATTGCCATTGAATTCCAATCTTTCTTGTTTATAAATATTACAGTATTTAACGTCAAGTTTGATGGTTCAAGTTCAAGATTAGTTTACCTAGTAGTCATCATTAATGTAAACCAAAAATTAGTAAAATTGATGGGACATACGTGCTTCTGTGGGTAGCTAGTCTATCTGCAGCATCTCTACTGATTTTAATATCATAACTGATCATCGATTGTCTGACTGGTGGCAGTAGTTAACTAATTTAATTTGACAAATTCAAAGGGAATCTGAATTTGACATTAGTTAATAACCATTTTTGTTTTCAGGTAATGCAAGGTCTTGCCAAATCAATAGCTTGGGATGGTGAAGGAGCAACATGCTTGATTGAGGTCTGCACCTTCTATGAAATAATCAATCGAAAAAAAATAAAATTATTGCCATGTCATTTTCAATCAAAAACATCTTAAAGAGGGTAAAAAATATTGTCACGATATTTTCCTTCCACGAACATACAGTTTGGATGAAATTTCATGATTTCTGCTCGATCCCGTTCGCTTGTGTGAGCAAATTACAAGCAGAAACTGTATTCTACCTTAATCACACAGAGAGCAGTACTATACCTATATTAATTTGGCATTATAAAGAAATTTTAAATCACATTTGAATGTTTTGAGCTGATTTTACTTGAATATGTTTATTCAGGTTAATGTGTCTGGAGCAAGCAACGAAACAGAAGCAGCAAAGGTTGCCCGATCCGTGGCATCTTCTTCATTGACTAAGGCATGCCCCAATATGTACTGATCTAGCAACTGTATTTTTCAGTCACAATTTTTGCTTAGCTCTGAATTTCCTTTATCCAACATATAGGCTGCAGTATATGGCAGGGATCCAAATTGGGGCCGTATAGCTTGTGCTGCTGGTTATGCAGGAATTCCTTTCGATCAAAATGAACTCCGAATATCACTTGGCGATATTCAATTGATGCACAATGGACAGCCTCTGCCTTTTGACAGGTAAAACTTTAAAAGCGAACTTCCTTTGAATAAGATAGAAACTAGTGCTCTATTATTCCATCTCTGCTATTAAATATGAATCCAAATGAACTCCGAATATCACTTGGCGATATTCGTCGATTGATGGACAATGGACAGCTCTGCCTTTTGATAGGTAAAAGTGAAATTCCTTTGAATAATAGAGAAACTAGTGCACTATAATTCCATCTCTGCTATTAAATATGAATCAACAGAACCAAAAGAAAAGGAGAAGTAAAATAAGTTTATTGCAGGGCTGCCGCTAGTAATTATCTCAGAACGACAGGCGAGAAACATGGAACGGTTGTCATTCATATTTCCATTGGTGAGCTTGGGATTATATCATATATGCTTCCATGATTTGCAAAGCCTTTATCCATTATTTATTTATTTATTATTATTTATTTTATTACTTTGACATACTTTACAAGTTTCGTGAACATGAATTTGGGATATATGTCAAGTGAAACACTTGCCTATCGTAACATTTTGGTGGCATGAATCTCGATAAATATTCTGCTTGAAGGGATTCGAATCCTACGATTGACGTTACCATATTTTCGACAGGTAATGGTCCAGGGAGTGGGCAGGCATGGGGCTGTGATCTCAGCTATGATTATGTGAAGATAAATGCTGAGTACACCACATAATCTTCTTCAAAAAGAAACTGCATGTACTCAGCTACCCATATTCTCTTCTATAATCTTAGTCCCTTCTTTTTTTTTAAACTCGTCCACAAATGTATTTTGATGGAACTCAAAATGATTTCATTTGTGACAACAATTAAAACAATCAAATATAATACTCTTCATCTACTTGTTTTGCAGAACTAATAATATGGGAATTATCTTAATTGCTATTTTGTTGGACTAAATTTGAATTTCTTGGATTGAGGCGAGCATGCCCTGTGAGTGACCCGCTCAGCATCTACAATTGAGTTTGGCTCTTCATTTTTATCTTTTCACGATTCATCAAAAGAAAAAGCAGATTTGTTGGAAAAGTCCCACCTTTATTCCAATTTTCCTTTTTCGGCTGTCGTATTGATTTAAATAATAGATCAAGGATCAGGCGTTATAATCTTAACCAGCTAAACTAACAATCTTGTCGGATTTGCCCAGTTAATATGTTGACTCTTTATCTAAACTATACCTTATTCAAAATTGGAGGGTGCATAAAGATCTGATTCAGATCATACCGGCACTTTCAACTCTGCGAAACCTTACTACTCGTTCATAATTATAAATCATATTTCTCTTCCACATGAAAGTAAAAATTAGAGAAAGGAATTAGCCTATATCTCCACGACACAAGAAAAGAAATTGCGAAATAATGATTGTAGTAATCTGGCACGGCTCCAAACATGAACACAAAAAAGAAAACATGCTTATGATCATGAAAACAAATCTATATATATATATATATATATAATTACTAGCTAATAGCATTTAAGAAAACCTATTTAATAAAACCTTCAAATTTTTTCCTCTATTTTCAGTTACAAAATTTATCATTAATGTTTTTTACTTCACATTAATACATCCTATTGAGTGTAATCATGTATTTTTCTATTATATTATATAATAGTTAATGCTAATACCAACATATAATTATTCACAATAAATATAAATTGTATAATTATAAACAATTGTTTCAAGTTATTTATTTAACATCAGTATTATCTTTTTCTTTTGTATCTCATGAAAAAATTTCTTCAAAAACAATTAGTGTTTTAATAGCATAGTCAAACAACTTTAGAATCCTATAAACAATTATTTCTTTAATAATAATAATAATAATAATGATGATAATAATAATAATCAAACTGCTATTATCTAATGATAATAAACAATTGTTCATAATAATAAACAATCATTAATTTATTTTTCTTAATTTTCTTAATGATTAAATTTTAAAAATGTAATACGTTCATTATCTAAAATTTTAATATTAAATTCTCAAATATTACTTATAATATTTTATGTACATATGTGCATGTGCACAAGATATTTACTAGTGACATGATGAACACACGACATTTAAAATAAAAAATAAAAACTTACTTAAATATTGACTTACATGATACGATAACACAATTTGCACCCCTATACATTGCCACATAAACCGATTCCAAGCAATAATGACAAATACCAAACAGTTGAAGCACCATAGCAGATTAAATCATACAGCAGCATTACCAAGTAATAACAAGAACATAAGAGAAAAGAGAAACAACAATATCCAACCCAGCACATGTCCGACTAAAAATACGCATCACAGTCATAAGCTCCCAATCAAAGTTCAAACATCCAACACCCCAAATTATTTATTCACACTGGGGAATACACACACACACAACAAAAGAAGAAAAAACCAAAAAAGCCACCCATCAACAGGTAGCCTCAGCAACAGGAAAATGCAACTTGGTGACCGACTCCTTCAGAAAAACTACTCCCACAAAACGGGTCCGGGCCCCCGACATTATAATCCAAACCGCCCAAAACAACTCCTCCACCCCCCATATGAAAAGGCTGTTTCAGCTTACCATTACTACTACTTTTGCTGGTGCTTCCGGAACTACTCTTCCGGGTGGTTTGCTTCTTGTTGTCCTTGCTCCTGCCGCCTCGTGAGGATTTGCCGCTGCTCCTCTGCTTGTACTTTCCCGACTTTTTGCTACTGTTACGGTAACGTTGGTTTTTATCAGTCGGGACGTGTGAGACTGAAGTAGGGATTGGGTCATACACGTCGGGAGCCCACGTTACGGATAGATTCTTGGGTGATGTGCCCTCTCGTTTTTCGCGGCTTCCTTTTAGAGATGATACGAGCTTCAGAGGTACCTAAAAGGTTGAGAGAATTATTAAAAAAAATCCAGTTTATAACAGGACAAGATGAGGGTGAGATAGAAGAAGCGGTGTTTTTAACAAGTAAATGCACGAGCTCGTTTGAACTTTGAAGGCAAAATATATATATATATAAAAAAAAAAAAANNTAAAAAAAAAAAAAAAATACTTTTCCAAGTCATCGCCTGCACGCAGACGAGACTTCGAATCGCATTAGTTAAGACTAATAGAACTAATTAAATTAGTAACATACACAAATCTGACATGTGGATTGTTCCTTGTTTGTTATATTCATGTATTGTGGGGAATACTCTTCAATGCATTGAACATGGAGTATAAAGGAAAAAAGAGGCAGCCTCAAGCAAAACAAATGATTACCTCCAAGTGGGGAGCAAAAAGCAAGAATGTTGTGTTTTCCCAGCGAGGAGGTAGTAGTCCCCAGTCATTCGACTTGAGAAGAGCATAGAATAAAAAAATTCGGGAATTTTCGTAAAGCATATAATAGATAATAGCAGCTGTACAATTACCCTACTATAACTAGTTTTGGAAAATTTGCTGTGCACTGTAATCTAAAACAGTCTTCACATTAAAAAGTTTCAAAAACTTACAGGCAAGGATGTGGATCGTGCATAGCATGCAGGTTTTGCAGAGCCGTTTCCATCAGAGGCTTCAACAGTTGTATCTCCCACGTGCTTTCCTTTCTCACCCACTGTAACATCTCCAGTAGATTTCGGTTCATGAACAGGCGGAAATGTGGCGCATTTGCTTATGCATTTTCCAGCTGACAAACTGCCAAAGACACTCTTGCTCAAGTCTTCGCAATCAGATTCTCTTCCCACATTTCGGATACAATTCTTCTCAGGAGAAAGATGACAGCCACTGGTTGATATTCTGGTCTCCTCAATGTTCGAAAGCTCGGTCAAACACGTTTTGAGGTCACTCATAGATAGATTTTCCGAGTCGTTATGGATTAGATCGTGTGGATAAGCAGTTAAAGACCCACAGCAACTATCCAGGTAATGTGATGTATTACCAGGAACAGACACTTCCATCTACTAGAAAAAACAACTGAAAGAGAAAGCAATAAACGTAAAAGTTCAAAGTTCGAGAACTCAAATATATCAACATGTAAAAATCATTCATATTACAAGAGACCTCGCGGAAATAAATAAGCAACAGTCTCTCAATTAGAAAATCACTGGCATGATCCAATTCAAATATATAACAAGGTAAATCCAAGAGAAAGCCGGCAAGCGAGAGAGGATTGAAAATTATGACATATTATTAGAAACAATATAAAATTACTTACAATTGGCATGAATAGCCTTCTATTTAGTGGCTGATCATTTACTTCCACAAAACGAATAATCTGACCCTGCTTCTTAAAACTATATGTGCATAATGGAAACAAATCAGCAAAGGTGACAGCTTGTACTACAAAGAGTACAAATATGGCTGCATTCATAACCATGTTTCACTTTTAATTTAACCATCTAAATTTGTCGAATAAGTTAAACAGATATGCATCTTTGATTTCGCCATCTAAATTTATTAAATACATTTCACTAAGACGACAAATATTGGTACACCGATTCATATACATCCAATCAATCCTAACTAACAATCTTATCATTCGCCACACAAAAAGTAACAAAATTATTTTTTCCAAACAAGATATGCAACAAATATTCGGAAACATATAAGAAATCAAGCTAGGAGAACTACACGAAAATAAATAGATCTACAAGCACAAGCACAAATAAAGGCCATAATACCTTAATTGATCCAAGCGCCCTCGCAACAAACAATATGCTTGAGACAATATCCCAACGAAAAGAACTCGTAGATCCAACAGCTGACAACGCTCAAATTTCCACAAAAAAATGTTAAATCGGCCGCCAAACTAACGTCAGAACACGTTACCAAATACTGCAATACACCTCGTCGGAAATTGACAACAACACCGTAGAAGGAAAAACCTCGATCTAAGCGAAACCGATGCTAAAACCAGCTAAAAGAAGAACGGCAAACCGTTAACTACTAAGATTACCACGCCGATCGCTTTTCTGAAGATGTTTCAGGCGATGAAAAGACGAGCCGCCATAGAAGGAGCTGACGTGCGGACGCGCGCTGAGAAGAAGGTCGTTGGAAGGCACCGAATGCATCGTTCGATGCTCTTCGATTCACAACTCTCCAATTTTTTTTTTTTTCGATTTTCCGG